AAAAAACGAAACTAAAAAAAGTTCACTCGTGCTTCTTGCAACACTGCAATACTGGGTCGGCGTTCAGTTCCACCACTCACTGTACTTATTCGCCGACTACGAGTACCACTGCTGGCAATGGATCGTCGATCGTCAGCAACATCTGCGCCAGCAGCACCACCAGCCGCTACATTTTCATTTTCTTCCCGCAGCATTAGTGAACTACTCTTGTTAGCACCGAAACTGTAGCACTGATAACGAGGATCACTGCGCAAAAATGTTACTGCATCCTAAAAATACGGGTAATTTCAACGTGCTATTCGCAATCATCTCAGTTTGAATGATACAAGCTATGCGTTCGGAAGTAAAGTGCTAATGAGTTTGATTTGAACCAAGTTTTAACAGAGATCATGAAATGCTGGATGCAAAACTTACTTGTAATGTGTCGGGCAAAGGACGATCGCAAGTTTCTGGCAAAAAAATGACTAGTACACCGGCAAAAAAGGAGAAAATCGAGAAAATAAGCATTGGCACAATTGGCAACGTAACATCGGAAAGAATAGCAATATATGAAGAAACTCCTGAGCCAAAGCGTGCAATCTGAAAATGCGTGGAATCCAAATGAGCAACCTAAAATTTTGCACAGTGGAACGGACCTCCGACCTGTGAAATTTTGTGCCTGCAGTGGAACTCCCGCAGCTGTACTCTCGCCTGTCGTGCATCAGTTCAAGAACTCGATCCCACTGGTAAGACAGCCAACTTCCCAAAGATTCGCTTCTCCGTCTCGATGACAAATTGGCAATAGCACATGCCAGGGATCCTGACTCAAGAACAATTTTTTTCTTCTAAGCAAGTCTTGGAAGAGAAAGCCATCGACAGTATTGCTATCGGGTGCTGATTTTGCTGCTTTCTATCACTCAGGCTACAGCTCGAATGCCTCGGCCTCTCACAAACAGCGGACACGGAAGGGGCTTTAACTTTTGACTTTGACGCGGAAAATTAGCCGATATCTTTTTTAAGCTGGAAATAAAAAAAAAAAGAATCCTCAAACCACTCATGAAGGTGTACCCGATGCCAAACATACATCAACCAACTGGTGGTCAGTGTGCTGGTGACCCCGTGTGTCCATTTGTTGTCTCAAACTCGGGCTATCTAAACCTGAGTGCCAA